ACTGGGGAAAAGAGCCAGGTTCAGAAATAAACTTATAGGTCTGAACCCCCCTAAAATTTAATTTTGCAATTCAAATTAGGGCTGGACGATATAGCAAAAATGCAATCTCAATGAAATATTTGCCATACTGAATGATAACGATATATATTTTCAAATCAGTTGTTAATGCTTCCAGATTTAAAAGTGTAATCCAACAATGACTAAAGCTACAAAAATTCTTTAAATGGCATAACATTTTCAGACGATAATTTTTTTTCTCTAATATCAATACACTTTCGATTCCTATTGTTGCACATTTCTGCTGTGTGATTGGCTCTTGAATCAATATAGAGTAAAAAAGTTCAGAGCTTATCACTGTTATTGACAAATTTTATCGTGATTCGATTTAATATCATTTATCGGCCCAGTTCTTATTCAAAACATCTTTTTAATTTTTTTCTCTCTCTTTATAGAGAATTTTGACTACAATGATTACTTTTGGTGTTTGTTTGTTCATTTGTAGCAACTTGGGTGCATAAAATTTATATAAAAAAAACTGTTTATTATTTTTTATGACAATTATGAAACCATGTTGGCTCAAAAATATAATAATGAGCAAAACAATGATGTTCAACATTGATAGAGATAAGAAATATTTAATATTTTGAAATCAAATAAACAAATTATAATGTTTTACAGCACTTTGTAAGAATTTTTCTTTACCTAATAACTTCTAATTTTTTTGTATGAAGTTTTTTATTTTATTTTATTTTGTTTTATGAATTTAAACTGTCCAATTCCATCTTTTTTTTTCACACAACACTTCCTCCAGTAGTAAACTTTGACATTCTAGAGCAGGGGTCACCAATCTCTTTTTAAGCTAAAATCTGCAGAACACCGAAACTCCAACAACAATTTGGTGATCCCTGTTCTAGAGGTATGTGGTAAATATTGAATGAGTGAACAAGTCAGCAATTTCACACACAGTGTAACACAGAAAATACCTGTTTTTCATGTCTTCTCAGGTAAATAAGAATTCAGTCCTCCATTTCCTAACATCTGTTGTAAGAAAAAGTCTAGACATGAAACAGAATCTTTCATCATTACTTCAACTATTGTTGATACTGATACTAACTACACTCTGAACAAATAGATAAGATTTCTTCATTTGAAAAAAATTAATTGTCCTAAGAATTAACTGTGGAAACCAAATTCAATTTATGTGAAGTGTGAACAACTCAAGTGAGTTTAGGGTCTCATTTGTCTAAAAAACACAGTATCAGATTAACACAAGGGCATTTAAGCAAGTCAACTCAAGACATTTGTCACTTCATGCACCTTAAAACAATTAGATTATTCTTGGATTGAAAAGCACAGTCCATCAATATTCCTGTTGCTGTGCAAGAATGAACAATCTAACAACCGCCAAGTGGCAAATGAGTGTAAAATATTGGTGTTGGTGATTATATGCAGCAGTATTATTCAACAGTTGGCTGGAACATCTTTAATAATTCTAACAATGCCTAAGAGTGTGATGCATCTTATATAATGACAAAATCACAAACACTGCAAAATATATTGCAACACTGCAATTACATAAATACGTAATCTGCTGCACAGCACTGTGGTCTTTTTTTTATTTGAGCAGCTCATGATAACAGTATTTTTAGTGTTTTTGGAATGGCCTGGGTGGCAGTAAACTCAGCTAAATCTCTGCAAGTTTAACTCAGTTATAATGTGCATTTGCAACTGCGCCAAACCTCTTGGCAAGTGTGTAACAAGGTTTATAAATCTGTTGTCAAAATAAATAAGAGAAGCATTTCAGAAGATAAGTTTCACCACAACACTTAGAAACAAAAAAATAACAACAACAACCAGCATTGCTTTTTGGAATTTTACATTTAAATGTAATAATAATAATAATAATAATATTTTTTATTATTTTTATTATTATTATTATTGTTGTTGTTGTTATATTATTATTATTATTATTATTATATGTTTATTTATTATTATTATTATTATTATTAATATGATTATTATTATTATTAGTAGTAGTAGTAGTAGTAGTAGTAGTAGTAGAAGTAGTAGAAGTAGTAGTAGTACTGTTATTCCCAGTGTTGTGTTGCGGCTAGAAGGGCATCCGCTGCGTAAAACATATGCTGGATAAATTAGCGGTTCATTCCGCTGTGGTGACCCCTGATTAATAATTGGACTAAGCCGGAAAAAAAATGAATAAATGAATTATTATTATTATTGTTGTTGTTGTTGTTGTTATTATTATCATTATTATTATTATGAATGCTGTTTAATAGAAATACAATGCAAACAGATGTATTTCCATCATTTGTTCTGCCTTTTTTATGAACACAGTTTCAATGCTTTTCATAAAAAAAAAAAAATTCTCAAGTCACTGGCCATTGGCACGCTTGACAAAATACTACTTTTTGGCTCAGTGAACACACATACTGTATATAGACTTTTCATATTCTACAGCAAACAAGTAAAAACTGACCAATGTGCAGTAAAACAATGACCAATAAACTATTCAAAACAAGGATCAAATTTCATATTGCATGACAACGACTAATTAACACAAATGGTGATTTTGGAAATAATACATCAAATTAATTTCAAAATAATTCAAAATTTGATTAAAACTGAGGATAATGTGTTGCAATGTCTCTTTTTAACATTTTAAACATAAACTGTATTTACACTACTCCATTATTATGCCTTACTTTATGGATTCAAAACAGAGGGCATTGAGCTTGACACCACATCATACTGCAGATATTCACAGCAGGATCGTACATAATTTTGCATGCTTAAAATGTAGTGTGACTCTGCATGTAGGTCATCCACCACTTCCGGCTCTAATGACTTTAAAATGCATCTCTAATACCATTAAAATAACACACAAATGTAACAACAACAAAGTCTATGTGATCATTCTCAACTAGAGTTTAAACTGAAATCCACTTTGCAATACCTAATCGGTTAAAATAAAATCGATTTGATCGATTTGGTAAACTTGACACTTTAGACTCATAAAACTCTCTACAATCAGAGTAAGTGTTTCGTCAGTGTTCCACAAGGATCCCTTGGCACAGGGTGAGTCTCAGGATTGGCTGACTGTCAGCCATCCAATGCACCAGTGATCAATTATTCAACAGAACTGCATGTTTTTGCCTCTCTCGACACTTAGGAATGGCTTTGCTATGCTGTTTATCACCGTCTTTGGCGCCTTGGCTGAAACAAAGGAACTCAATAAGCCACTAAAAGACGATCTACAGTGAATAAAACACATTAATACCATAAATACTACCTAAACCTTCACCATAAAAGAAACATGCACCCCAGACAGTAAGAGAGAAGAGCGGTCTTTGAACTAGCAGACTTGGCTGTCTGACCTAGTTAGCATATGAACACCCCCACAAGCAGACTGTACCACAGTCAGAAACACGGGGGCAACACAGGCCCCAGAAGAGCTTAACACCACACTTTAGATGTATTTTTGGCTATAAAATACCCTTAGTGCAAGTGCTTATTTCTTATCTTTGCATATGACACATTCACAAATCCTTGACAGAGGCCTAAAATCAGTATTGGAAGTATTTCTGTTTTTTCCCTAGTTGGAGCTGAAGTCTGTGATTTGCACACAATGTCCTCAAATTTTAAGTGAAGCGTTTTATTATAGGGTTGTGCTGCCTAATCTGAATGTGGAGACAACATAATTAGCCATCTTGCTCTGAAGATGGGATTATGGATGCAATATAGATGTGGTAATTTTTTTACCCCATTTTATATATATATATTTTATTAGATCAATTTTTTTTACATTTGTTATGCCTTTTCTCCAAACATTTCTTATATACAAATGTATATTTTATACATGATTATAATATATTAACAAACATGTATTTATTATGAAATCAGAATTATTAAACCTCTTTGAAATATATTTTCTTTTTTAAATATTTCTAAAATTATGTTTAACAAAGCAAAAAAAAATCACAGTATGTCTGATAATATTTTTTCTTTTTTTCTTCTGGAGAAAGTCTTATTTGTTTTATTTTGGCTAGAATAAAGGCAGTTTTTTTATTTTTTTTAAACTATTTTAAGGTCAATATAATAATAATAATAATTATTATTATTATATGTTTATTTATTATTATTATTATTATTTATATGATTATTATTATTATTGTTATTATTATTATTATTAATATGATTATTATTATTATTATTAGTAGTAGTAGTAGTAGTAGTAGTAGTAGTAGTAGTAGTAGTAGTAGTAGTATTTTATTCCCAGTGTTGTGTTGCGGCTAGAAGGGCATCCGCTGCGTAAAACATATGCTGGATAAATTATCGGTTCATTCCGCTGTGGTGACCCCTGATTAATAATTGGACTAAGCCGGAAAAAAAATGAATAAATGAATTATTATTATTATTGTTGTTGTTGTTGTTATTATTATCATTATTATTATTATGAATGCTGTTTAATAGAAATACAATGCAAACAGATGTACTTCCATCATTTGTTTTTTAATTTTTTTAAAACTATTTTAAGGTCAATATAATTAGCCCCTATAAACTATATATATTTTTAATATTCTACAAAACAAACCATCATTATACAATAACTTGCCTAATTACCCTAACCTGCCTAGTTAACCTAATTAACCTGGTTAAGGCTTTAAATGTCACTTTAAGCTGTGTCTTGAAAAATATTTAGAAAAATATTATGTGCTGTCATCATGGCAAAGATAAAATAAATCAGTTATTAGAAATGAGTATTAAAACTATTATGTTTAGAAATGTGTTGAAAAAATCTTCTTTCCGTTAAACAGAAATTGGGGGAAAAATAAACAGGGGCCTAATAATTCAGGTGGTTTAATAATTCTGATTGCAACTCTAGATGTATTTTTGTTCAATATTTCCCTTTTCACTATTATTTCGTACCTATTTTATTTACTTGCTAAAAGATACATAAATATCCACACAGTAGTGAAACTCACCCTCTGAAGCTGAAGCCCCTGGAGGCTGAGGCCCTACAGGTGTTGGTGGCACAGGTCTTGGCCAGGGCTTTCCTGAAGTAAGGCCTGTCCTCACGACCCCAACATACTCCACAAAGGTGCCAGGGAAGTTGCCCTTCTCTTTAGTGCGTTCGTTGGTTCCATGCAGCCAGCCTTTGGGGCACTTTTCATCGCCTTCCTGATACTCAGATGCCAGCAGTGCCATCTTACTGACGGTGAGCAGATCACCAGGCTGCAGAGAGATATCGTCGCCCCGCTCCTGTTTGTACTCGAACAGTGCACGGTACTGGAAAAAACTGTCAGAGCTCATGATTTACTTTTCACATGAGCGCTCTGGTGGCTTTTCTGGAGTTGATGCTTGTTTAAAACTGACCTGGTTTAAAATCCTGAGTGCTAACTCACTTGAACAGTCCTTGGGTTAAATCCTGAGAGCTCATCGACATTCAGCTTGAGTTTCTTGTAAGGGTTAAAACTCCAACAGTACCATGTGTTGGGCTGTTATTGCGCAGTTCTAAATTTAGTCTATTAAAAAAAAGTAAAAACTTTTTTGGAATTAGTTACAAACAGGGTCAGAGAATGCAAAATTCAGCCCCATGGGGAGAACAGGAGAAACAGACCGATTGGGTGGCGGGTGCTGGAGAGTGGCAGCATAAATTTGGGGACACAGTGACCTGGAATCGGGACGCTGGGCTTTTTCTGCAGCGTTGGCACTAGTCCACATAGAAAAATGTACCATTTATTGAAGTAACCTCTGAGTTCATTTGCAGTTGTGGTCAGAAAGATGACATTTTCAGTCTATATATAAAATGAGAGAGCAAGAGCCTTGGACATCTTCTTGATAAACACCTCAAAACCTGAAAGCATTCATTTAAATAGTCAGTTTTACAAATTCTAACTCAAACCAATATAACAGCATTAAAAGAGCAACTTTTGTATTCCAATTTACAGCCTATATATAAAAAATCTCTGCATTGTTAGAATGCAGCTACTATGCAAACCATGCATACATAGCATAACTCTGTGTGTTTACCAGTCGTAGAGTAACACAATGAAAACTGACATGTAAAAATGACATGTCTGACTTGCAGCGCGTGATTGGGACACTGCCAACTTGTGTACAGCGTGCAGAAACTCGACTCGCGTGATACTATAACTTACCTCCTGTCGCACTTCCTCAAACCGCCCGAAACAAAGGATGCGCGTAGTCCAAAACAAGAGCAAGGAGCGATCATTTTACGGTCTTTTTAATAAAAACGTGCGTTTAAAATAAATTCCCCCAAACAACCTGCGTGGCTGAGTCAGACATCCAGCCAGACTAGTGCTGTAGTACGGTTCAGCCCGAGTGACGTCAGATACCACGCCTCCTCTGTCTGCTTGTCACGCCGTGGGATAAAGTTGGGAAGTCGGGATGTCCTCATGGAGCGGTCAGGATGTGAAGAACGCAATGCAGCGTGAAAATGTTGCGTCGTACTTTTCATCTCGCCACGCAGTTATATAATACACGTCTGACGTGCGCAGATCACGTTAAAGGCACGCATCAGCATAATGCTTTCTCTATAATAGTTTTTTTAAACCTTTTATCCAATATTATTTCATTTAAATGTTGCAATATTTTAGGAAAAACGTTATACGTATCAAATGGGTAAGAGCTAGTTAGGACATGTTTAAGACAAACTGCATGGATTATTCAAGATGCATTGATAAGTTATATTTACTCTTACTGCAAATTAGTGTAAATGTTGGCATTGAACATTTGACATTCAATGCAATTTATTTCAAATGAAAAGAAAAAAAAAACAAATCAAAATTATCTAAAGTCATTCGATAGGAAAACAATAAAACTAGAAAATATAAATGCTTAGGGAATAACCATAGTTTGGTAACACTTTAAGTAATTCACACCATTTACTATAGGCTTATTACCTGCCTATTATTAAGATATTAACCTGTTATTGGCACTTAAAAATTATTATCCTAATCTTAATTGTAATCGTACTCGTACTACCAGAACTACTACTGTTATTTACTGAAATATGCAGATAATTATTAATTTTAAATTAATAATAATAAAAAAATAGCTATTGAGCTAAAAGTCAATGATTAGCTAGGAATGGCATGTGGTGTACATTAAAATAAACATGTGTGAGCATTACTCCATTATTTTGTAATTGTGTTAACATTTTATAAACATGACAACCCAACATCAATGTATGCATCTCTAGTGAGATCATCTGTGAGTTAGCCAGTTACAATGGACCTCAACTCAGTGAAAAGCATTTACACATCTCTCAAACTTTCAGAATGTTCATTACTTTTTCTAACAGTAAAAACATTGCCAATCTTCGCAATCTTAAAACTTTAAAACTTAAACATTCATTCATTTTCTTTTTGGCTTAGTCCCTTTATTAATCTGGGGTCGCCACATCGTAATAAACCGCCAACTTATCAAGCATAAGTTTTACACAGCAGATGCCCTTCCCGCTGCAATCACTGGGAAACACTCTCATTCACACTCACACACTACAAAGAAATTTAGTGTACCCAATTCACCTATAGCACATTTCTTTGAACTGTGGTGGAAAATGGAGAACCCAGGGTTCACACGGAGACAACATGCAAACTCCCCACAGAAATTCCAACTGACCCAGCTAAGGCTCGAACCAGCAAGGTTCCTGCTGTGAGGTGACATCGCTACCCAAAAAATTAAACTAAAATAATGTAATGGTGTCAATGTACTAATATTACTATAACCCTGTTTCAAAAAGTTTTACAATCAACATTTGAAGTGGATCAAACGCTTTCATGAGAGTTGCTCTAAAACTATTGAACACCTGTTCTTGTCTAAGAACAATTTGAAAAAAACTTCTTGATCCACTTCAAATGTTGAATACTATATAACATGAATTTATGTAAATATAGTGGTTAATAATCACGAGAACATTCATGCCCTTCCAGCTGCAACCCATCACTGTGAAACATCAATACACACTCATTCACGCACTTACATGGACAATTTAGCCTACCCAATTCACCTATACCACGTCTTTGGAGGAGACCCACGTGAACATGCAAACTCCACACAGAAATGCCAACTACCCTAGCCCGGGCTCGAACCAGCAATCATCTTGCTGTGAGCCAATCGTGCTACCCACTGCGTCACCATGGCTCAAAAAATCATTAAAAATCAAATTTTGAAACTAATAATAAAATCACAAATAACAACAAAGGAGAAAAAAAAACTTATACAAGTGGTAACTAATCTAAAAAACATAGTAAGTTACTATAACAAAATTATGCTAACCGCACACAGATAATATATTAAGCATTACCAAATAGTTAATGAATCATTTATTAAAAATTAACTACATGAATAGAGTTTAGTAGCTAGTTTATAAATATACACTCAAAAAGCCAACAAAGCCACTTGCTCGATTTGCAAATAACAAATATGTCTTGTCGAAAAGAATGGAACGAGTTTAGTTCTGTTAAATGATTCATTCTAGTTGTTTGAAACTAAATGAAGAAATAATCAAATGAATTAGATGAGAACTTGTTGATTGAATGAAATTCATATGAATGACATGAGTTACTGTGCGCCTCCATCACAGTAGGTGGCGGTAAGCTGGTTCGCATACCCACCAATAAAACAGCATACGAACAACAATTCACTGTGCATGCTTAGCTTAACAGACTGAATTTTATAAATATATGGACAACTTATTCTTGGCACAAGAAATTTCAAGACAAAAATGCACTTGCTTTTTCTTTTGCATGTCGACGATTTCATTTTTGCACTGTTCCCTTCAAACAAGCTAGGGCATGAACTTGAGCTAGAACAAGACTCATGTAGTGATTAAATAAAGAAGATGTACATTTTTAGCTGGTCAGAAGCTGTTGTGGCCAGCGGTTATGACAGTATTCCTTTAAATGTGGTGTAGAGTTAGCTCAGATTGGAACATCTTTTATTGTAATTGGCATTTTATTAAATACCGTTATTTTCTTCTGGGTTACTATTTTACAGCTTTAAAAAAGTTTTTTACAAATCCTCTTGTTATCATTTTATGTTTATTTGTGTTAATACATAAATTGTCTCACGCCATGGTTTAACTAAACTGCCAAAAAGATACTTTGAGACATACAGTATTGTGAGGATGTGAGGCAATATTGGTAATTTGGTGAAATCACAGCAGGTCGGCTGCAAGTTAAGAACTTCAATGCTGCCAACTAAGACAAATAATTGAAGAAACACAACAGATTTTAATATCCATACATGGACAAGACTAAAACTTGCTGATGTAACAAGGACGAATCTTGTTGAGTTGAAGGCTTTACTGACACCAACATTTTAATTCAATTAGCTTCAAAGAAGTTGCATGTTAAAACCATGTTGATTTGATTTTTTGATTTGACTTATTTATTTTCGAACAAAACTATCACACATAAAATATAATTAACAAAAGAAATGCATTTATTTTTTAAAAGTTTATATTGTGTTCATATGACACATTCAAAGCAGTTCAAGTTTACTTGATTAGTTTAGATGCACAATGGGTGCTACGATTAAATCATGTTGATTCAATAAATAATTTTTTGATTATAGCTACACACGTTATATTCTTGACCCATATAAGCACATTTATACTGTGCTCAATGATATTATTTTCATAAATTGTTAATAATTTATTTTTCATTACTAAATTAAGTATTGCATTATTTACAAGCCAGTTATTTTAAAGTAGCTGATGGTTTTTTGATCATTCTGATTAAGTAAGAGTATAAGCAAATAATTAATAAACTATTCAAACAAACATCAATGCATTATATTATTCAGGCATATAGTATTAGTAACTATGCATGTTAAGAAATGCTTTATTAACATAACTTAATGCAGTTTTATGACCTTATATAAAGGAGGGATTATTTATGCTTTGTAAATCCTTTATAAAGGCTCAGTTATATACTATACAGAACAGAAAGGAAATGAAAAAAGACGAACGAGTGACTCATAACAAAAGACATTCATTTAGTGCTTCAAAATAAAAAATACTTGAATGCTAAGTGTGGCAAAGATTATTAATTTATAAAAATTATTTTAAAATATTGGTGCGATAGCCCAGTGGTTGTGCCGACATGTGGTGCAGCAGCGCTCTGGGTGTCCCGAGTTCAAATCCTGGCTCGTGGACCTTTACTGATTCTACTCCCCTATCTCTCCCACTTCACTTCCTGTCAACCTGTACTGTCCTGTTAAATGAAGACAAAAAAAATCATTATTCTTATCATCATAGTAGTTGTCATTGATGGAAAGAGCACAGAAAAAGCGTAAAAGTACCATTACTTGCCTAAAAATGTATAGTGCAAGTACAGTAAAAGTATCTGTTGTAAATATTAAAACAGACATTTTAAAAGTACTCAAGAGTAGTCTACAGTGAGTATTACGCTTTAAAAAGCTGGTGAATTTACATGTTATTTGTAAAATGTGTGTAAACGTACAATCTGTAGTGCATTTAGTTATTGCCCAGCATGCACATGTCATAAGGCAATAATATTAGTTTAGATTTCGGTTGTGATGTCAGGTGACCAAAATTCAATGTCTAGCCCGTGTCTTAGGACAACGTTATTTTGATGTACAATAACAACGTCAAATTACATTGATATTTGGTTGATTTTAGATTATGTTAGAAAGTGACCAAAATTTAACATCTGAAACAAGCGTCATATTGATGTCAAATTCTGACATTTATTTATCAGGTATGGCAATTAAAATCCAACATTTGATAGATAGTGGTAACGTCCACACAACGGTAAGCTGTAAGATCATTAGACGTTGGTATTTGGTTGATTTTAGGTTGTACATTGATGTCAGCTAAACTGAACTGAACTTTAACGCTAAAAAACTGAACTACACTGTTACAATTTACAACAACCTTATGTGTGAAGCTGCTTTGACACAATCTACATTGAAAAAGCGCTATACAAATAAAGGTGAATTGAATTGAATTGAATGTTGGGTTCTAAAATGTCAACCAGATTTTCATTTCAAAACAAAAATGCAATGTCCCCACAAGGTTAGGGTACAACATCAATCTGACGTCATGATGATGCCTCGCGTCTGCTGAGTGTATGAGGTTATTTCGGCATATCATACAGTAAACATCTGTCATCTTCTCATCAGTGACATGAATTTAAACAGTCTCTGGGTCAATGCGTGTAGATATTGGACATTTTCTTGGACACTTTTAATGCTTCCAAACAGTTTACTGCAATTATAAATCGCCATGTCTTGAAATAGTTAATTATGATGTGACTTACCTTTTATGTGCGATTTGATTGGACAAGAATCACAGGACTGATTTTTCTAATCGCCATAGACAGTAAAAATAAAGTAGTGATTGCAGGTGGAAGGAAAGTAGGGGAGTAAAAGTACCACTAAAATGCACTCAAGAGAAAACAAAGGTGCACATTTATAAAA